TATTTGGTGACGTTTTTCTTATTAAAATGAAAAAAAAAAACTTTTTACTTTCATTAAACTTTGATGATTATGACTGATGGTAGTGGGCGTAATATGTACGTACACATAGACGTATATAAAGTATTTCATTTCCCCAAACGTAATTAACTTCATGTTAATTTTATTCTGTAAGCATAATAAGATATTCGGAACTTAAGAAAAAGGAGATTCATTTTTAATATTTTAAAATTTTTTATATGTAAACAAATTTTTTTTTTGTATAATTATGACTGGCATTTAAGTAAAATGATATACGATTATTAACAGGGCCGGATCTACTATGTGAGCAGCCACAGTAATATAATTGATGTAATTTTAAATATTTATATTTAGGAGTTTGCACTTTAAAAATGGATACCTAAGAGTGAACACCTTAATCATCAGGAGCTCCCGATTTATTGAAATAATATTTAGCGAATTAATTGAATTTGCGACGGTGAGCCTTCTATTCTTAAGAAATGAAATGAGTAATTAATTTTTCTAAGAGAAATTTCGATTTTAAATCAATTTGTAGAGAGTGGCGTTAAAAATTAAAGCCAGTTTATGTTTTAGGTAAATCCAGAAGATTTAAAAGTATATAATGTATATTTTTTTGAAGCACATTGTGAAATTCAAATTAAGTTGATTTAGAAAATATTTACTTAAAATCACAAAAAATATATGTGTTTAATTAAAGGTGAGTGAAAGAGTGCAATATGTTAAAAATATCATCCGACGTAAATCTCGTATTAAATTGAAATTTAATAAATTAAATATTCAAAAATGAGATCTCAAGACATCTCTTTTCATTGTAATGTGAGAATTTTAAACAAAAGTTGTATTCCCACTGTTTTTCACAAACAAAAGTTAAATAGAAAATTTCAATGTAAAAAATTTTTTTGTTTATCAACGTGTATGAGAAACAAAAAAAAATTACAATTAAAATTTTATTAAAACTTTGAATTTTTGTTTTTCTTTTAAAATTTTTACCAAAATAAACACATTCTCACCTTATTTATGTCAGTTTTAAAGTACAAAGATCAAAAGTATTTGTCAATAATGAAATTTTAAAAACTTGTGCTTTAAATTAATAATTAAGTCAAAAAATTGTAAGTTAAATAAGAAAAAAAAAAAAAATTTTTTGGGCGTTTCGGACCCAGGATGCTAAATTTCAACTTTTGTAAACAGTTAAAGGAGTAGCTATCCGATAAATGTATCCTCATTCATAACACAAACGGTAAACGGTTAAAATAATTTCCGGGTATCTCAGAATACTTTCACTTGCGTGCATCCGCTAAAAAGATTTTGCCTGCCATGTCTCTGCTTCCTTTAATACTTTACCAGAATTAAAATAACGAAATAGGTGGCAAAAGCGGCAACTGCTGCACTACTGTGCGTATATAAAACTCATATCTCCAATAGAACAGGGAGAAGTGGACAACACTTCTCATGAGGCGATTATGAGCGCTCTGAGGCGTAGGGACGTGGATAATACCACCTCTCTATGGATGTCCAACATGTTGGCTACGAGAGTTGCAGAGGCTGCTGTGGGCAGAGCACCCTAAGGATGCGTTTGGCTAGGGGATGCCCCCAGAGTGGGGTTCCGTCTTCGCTAATGTGGAGTTTGGTAGTGGATGGACTCCTTGATAAGCTGCTTCGTCAAGGAATTGGTGTCCAGGCTCATGCCGATGATATTATCGTCATCGCTAGGGGTAAGTTAGGCGGGACTCTTTGTGATATAGTCCAAAGGGGATTACGGGTGGCCCGAGCCTGGTGCGGTGCTGTGGGCCTCAGGCTTAACCCTGACAAGACGACCTTGGTGCATTTCACTAGGAGTAGAAAGCTGGGCCATCTGCACACAATTTATGTGTGCGGAGCGGCTGAAGAGAGAAAATCGGAGGTCAAATACCTGGGGGTGGTATTTGATTCCAAGCTTCTTTGGCGAAGTCACGAGGAAGCTGTATGTACACGGGCAACCCGGGCACTTATGGTTTGCAGGTCCATCTCGGGCAGGTCGTGGGCCTGCCCCCCGTCTTTCGTGTTGTGGATGTATACCATAATGGTCGCACCACTCCTGAATTTTGGAGTATTGGCATGGGCAAGCAGGATGGCTCTTAGTACGGCTAGAAAGTATTGCAGTAGACTCGCATGCGTCAGCATCACAGGGACTACGAGAACTTGTCCAACGGTGGAAATGGAGGTGATTTCGGAACTAACCCCTTTGCACCTCATTGTAGAGATTTCCCCATGTTCAGGTTGGGAAGATCGGAGTGAGGGATCTAGGTCGTCTTGAGTCTATCGATGCCTAGGGATGACATGGTACGGAGGTACAGCTTCGAGAAAAATTTTTCCTCTTTGCTGAGTAACAGGAGGGACTGCGAGCGTGACTTTTCAGGTCGCCTAATGGGAGCACCTGTTATCAGATGGTACGCAGATGTGTCAAAAACCAGTATGGTGACGGGTGCTAGGGTGTTTGGGCCAAGAACCAAATTCTCCGAACCTGTGGGAGCTTTTCCGAGTGTGTTTCGGGCCGAGTTGCACGTCATTGAATTGTGCGTGCGGCCAAGCCTGGAGAGGGGGTGTCGGGGACAGGAGGTAATGATTATGTCAGATAGCCGCGCTGCGATCGGAGCGCTGAACTCGTTTTCAGTGTCCTCCGCGGTTGTATGGGGCTGTCCTGAAAAGCGCAATGAGTTGGGCAAGCGCAACCGGGTCACACTGTGTTGGTTGCCGGGCCATGTGGGCGTGGAGGGAAATGAGACCCCTGATACGCTTGCAAGGAGGAGGGCAAACACACCTCTTGTTGGGCCGGAGCTCTTTTGCGGAATCAGACCACATACTATTCTTTGGAAATTAAGGAAGGAATCAGCAAGAAGGTGCACCTTGAGACCTCGGTGTACCTTCTGGGGGAGTGTGATGCTGTTGCTCATAGGGGAGGTTGGAGTTACGGTCTTCTCTCCTCACGAATTGCTTGAGTGAATCAGGAGGGTGTAGGGAACGCACAATAGATCCTTATACGTGGTCGCGGTGCACTGTTGCTCCCGTTGTACAATTCTACAATCTACAAAACTCATCTCTCCAAATTTGTGAGGATGATCATCGTCCTGTGCGTTCGCGTTTAAAATTTTCTCATTCTGTTCTTTGATATCGACTCCATAACCTTTACGCTTGAATGTGACGCTAAGTAACGTTCACAGCACATGCGGCATTTCGTTCCAAAGAAACTATCTCTTTTCCATATTTTTAAAGAAACTCTTGACGCTAGGCACAAACCAGTTCTGTTTTAGCAGAATTTACAATGAAACCACCAACTGCTTCCAACTTATTTAGAACTCATTAAAACCCTTTTAAACTTATAGGATTTAGGATAAGACTTTTAAACTTATGGCTGATGTCCCTTTCAAAGCTTATAGGAATAATTCTAGAACGATTCGGGTTTCTATAAGTTAGTTACTCTTATTTTACAGGATTTCGATATATTGTAACTGCTTTCCTGCAATGAGACGCATTAATAATTGCTTATAAGAAATGGCTATTGTGTATAATATTTACCATAGTGTATAATAGATTAAGGAAATTGTTCTAAAAATGAATGAGTCACGAAAATGTTTTCATCATTTATTATCACAGTTATTACACGTTTTTCTCAAGGAAATATTTTCTGAATATTTTAGCATTTATTTGTATTTTTTATAAGGTTTAGGTATAGAGATATAGGCAGATGCTTTCATTATAAAAATTAGCCTACTATTTTATAAAATTTTATAAGTTTGTGTAAAGTCAAAAGTCAGGAAAAATTTGTTCTATGTTCTTATTTTGTATTCATTACAATTGTAACCAAAATAAAATTTCATTTGAATTCATGATTTTTGATTCATTTTTGTAAAAATGTTTATTTTATTAGAATAAAATTATGGAAAAATCATTGTAATTATTCAATTTCATGGAGTTCACTTTCACTGCTCAAGAGGTGTACCGAATTTTAAATAAAAGAATTAACTAATTTTGAATTCAAGTGGAAATAAAAAGACAGAAACAGGAATTTGTTTATTTTTTAGATATTTTCAACTTCGAAAAGTTGTAGACGACGCACAATGATTGTGGATTATTTGTTTTTTAAAGAAACCGAATTAGGTTACGCCATAATTAATGCTGAAGGTATTTTTTCATTACAAGTGACTTCCGGAAAAGTTATTATGTATAACAAGGGGGCAAGAGCACAACTTTCCTATGGGAATAAAGATACGTACATCATGAAACATAATAATTTATTTTTCAGTTTCGTTGGAAATATAATTTAGAAGAAAGTGAGTTTCTAATGAATGAAAAGAAAAAAGTGGTGGAAATTTAAAATGGCAAAGACTAATGGTTAATAATATTTTCTATATAATTTCTTAAAATTTTTTTCAACTGAAGTGAATTTTCTAGCAGATGTAAATTAATAATCTTAAACTTTTTATTCATTTTTATGTTTCAAAACTTTCAAGTCACGCGATTTTATGCTTAACTGGACGAATTTTCAACTCAGCTGTGATCTGCAGAAAAAAATGAGAAATTTTGAGCGAATTCTGTTTTCAGGGACCGTTTTCAGAATACGACTATTTGTTGTAAATTTTTCGGAGATCAATATCTTTGATGTTAAATAAAGAACAATTTAGGGACATTTAATACGAAATTTGTGACCTACACTAGAAGAGGTTGAGTCATGTTGCTCAAATTTTTCGATCACACTCATCTAGAACACCGTGATATGGCCTCAAAATATTTCGTCTGAAATTTTTATTACTTTACTAATATTCCACAATATCAATGGGTAATAGCTCCAGTGGACGACTTTTCTGAAATCTACAATTGCATTGAATCTGTTTAAAAATCACATATGAAAGTGTATACTTTGGCTTTTTTCACACAAACTTGTGCAATTCACATTTGAAAAGCCTATTATTTTGTAATAAAATACAATTATTTTCTATTTTACTTACCCTTTTGTCAGGATTTAGAAACATAAAAATTATCATCATCACATTATAAGGAGTCCAGCATATTAAAAATGCTACAATTATCTGTGAATAAAGAAAAAGGCCAAAATTTACTTATTAAGAATTCATGCCTCATAGTTGCTATAAAAAAGAAATAAATAAAAATGAGAAAAAATACTTACCACAACCGAAATCCTTAAAGATTTCATTTTCGCTTTATGAATTAATCGTTGTCTATTTGTTTGTGCTGCTGGTTTACTTGTGTACACAGCTAATTTTGACCCTTGAAACATTTTTTCGCTTCCTATTTGTTTTGTTTTTTGGAGGAAAACCAAGAGTATATTAATTTTAATTTATTTGAGTTTTATATTGAAAAATAAATTTTTATTTAAAAAGTACAAGTTGTTTCTTCTTATGAATTACGAATTGCTATTCTTTCTTAATCAATCACAATTTCCATTATAGTAGAAATTCATTATTTTAAATTATATACGGGAATTATTGCATCTAATAGGGTTTTTTTGTTTAGTCAGGCAGAAAGCTTTATCGGCCGAATTTCGTCAATTAATAAATTTCAAACTCATTCATATATTAGTTGCGGGAGATGTGGAATAAGGGATATTCAACTTAGAAGCGCAAATTAGGATGGTATTGTATTAAAAAAATATTTGCCCGAACTTGATTTACAAATTTCAATTTATAGAACTATTAAAATAGACAGAGTACTGTATTCTCCCGTCTTGGATTATTTGTTTAATTATTTTTTTTTTTAAATTGGGTTTAAAATTTTAAAAAATAACCACGGCCGTGAAGTAAAAGGTACTTTCAACTTCAACTACGCACCATTGCTACAGTAGACAAATTAAAATGCTTAACCTTTAGTAAAATTTAACAATTTTCACACAATAGGTGGTCAAAATACACTGCTTTTATGATTTACGAGACTCTAGACAAAAAAAACATACATTCATTAAAAAACGCGAACTGAGTGCAATTAGTTGGTACACATTTTTTTATAATTTTTTTTTACCGGCCGCATTGCAGGCAATAAGGCAATTTATGTGATCACACCAAATTTCGTATATCGAATTTTCGGTGGAAACGTACTTCTTCATAGTACGGAAAGGTAAGAAAAATGTTTTAGCAAGATGTCGGTCTGTGTGTGCACGCGTGTATCTCAAGTTCGGCCGAGCCAATTTTAGTAATTTTATATGTAACTTTATTTTAGCCATGACACAGATTGATCAACTTTTGGGATATGTCAGACCCCAAAGGAAATGGACTTTTTAACGGGCCGATTTTACATTTTTTACCATATCTAAGGACCATATAATTGACGACATTTGTTGATAATTAAATATTTGAGTTCAGTTTGTCACTAAACTAGACAATACATCTTCCGGTCGATTATATGCTGACCAAATCAGATTTTTTTAAATGTACCAGAATCGTTGATTTTAATACAAACAAGATAATTTCCACACAAAGTTCTTCCATATACTGAAATTTTCAAACCCAAGTAACCTCCGACCAAAAATATTTTTTTTTGGCAGCACAGAACTTGAAAAATGTCAAGAATAATATTTTTACGTCAAAAATTTCAATTAATTATCTACCTTGTTAAAATTTAATTTCTAAGAATCTTAAGTCATTTTACTTTGAAATATTTATGAATATGATATTTTCGTGATTTTGTCTCATATTCATTATTAGGTGCGGCTATAGGGTTTTCTCATTACTTTCACAAAATATAAGCATAGAACTAGTTGTATTTTTGTATACCGCACATTTTCTGAACACGTTCACAATGGTATATTTTTATTTTGTCCAATATTCAGATCACACTTTGATAATAAAATTGTGTAAAAAGACAGGAAAAGTAAAAGGACTTAAAAAACAAAAAAGGAACAAAAATTGAGTAGAAAAACGAGACAAAACCATTTTGTAAACTTTCTATTTTTATCCTCTTCTATTAGAAGAAATCCTGTTTACAGAATTATTGTAAAAACGAACGTGATTTGTACGTTAAAAAAAAAAAAATGCTCTCAATTTTTTTTTCTCGTTTTCTTGTACATATTTTAAAGCCTACTAAACACGACATTGAGATATCGTTAAGAATATTTTAGTGAGAAAGTTTATTATTTTAAATAATTAACAAGAATCAAGTATCCTTTTGAGAAGGTGTATAATTTCGAAACAGGCGGGTAGGTAAAACAAGGAAGAAAATTAACTAAGCGTAAATATATGAGGATTTCAAAAAAACACAATACACAAATAAAATATAGGGAATGCCTAACTTGAATATTGTTAAGTATATTGTAGTTGCGTTTAATCTACTAGAAATTTAGATGATTGTGATTATTCTGTTACTAAATAAAATGTTAAATTATAGAAAAGAAGAAACAAAAATAATGTCCTAGAAGAAAATTTGAGTGGCAAAAACAAAAGTATTTACGAATTTTCCATTTCTAATAAGGAATAGACAATGAAAATTTATGGTTATTACATTGAATCGCTTGCTATTAAAGAAATTAAATTAAATTGATTCATAAGGACATACAAAAGTATAGAGAAACGTATACAGTTAATTAATATCATAGACCTATTTAGTGAATTTCTTTGTATTGTTCATTTAATTTTAATGTTATTTAGGGAAATAAGTATAAAATGGAATTTTTATTTTCTTTTTTCTTGACGTTTTACAATTATTTAATCAAAATGGCCCTGAAATTTAATTTTTTTTTTTTGCTTATTCGATTTTAAGAATAAAGATATTGGTGGTAATTTTCAAAATTATATTTTGTGTATGAAAGTAATTAAAAGAAATTTTAACTTTCATATAATTTAATATTTTTTAAATTGAATTTAATTTTGTTATTTTTTATTTAGTAAGTTTAAAAATGCTTTTATAAATAACCATTGGTTTTGTACAGCTTAAATAATAAAAATTTAACTCAATGACTCCAAAAGTGGCCCACTGTTCCATGAAGACCTACTAGGGGTCTACAAAAAAATATGAATTTAATTAAATTAGTTTTTTATTTAACTTTCTTACATCATAGTCGTACCTTGCTACTGTTAGAAATTTACATCAATCAAAGAAAATAGCAGAGGGTCTATCAAAAATTGAAAAACACGACAACGAGCCTACGACAGAAAAAGGTTTGGCAACCTCTGATCTAACTTATTAGCAAAAGTTATTTAACAAAAAGCAAACACAACCAAATATAGTTTAATGATATTGTCAAAATTTAATTAATAATTTTTTAAGAAATTTTCATTAGTAGAAAAACTTGAAGGGAAGAAAAATAATATGTGCATAACTTTTCAGGGAAGGGTTATTTGGCCCTTTCCATTGACGCGGCTCATCAGAAATTTTAAGAAATTTTGAAATACTTATAGAATCAAATTTTAGATGCAAATTACGATTAACATATACGTACATATGTGTGACTCTGTTAAACTGGTCTCAAAGAAATATGAACAGAGAGACAATAACAACCTTAATATTCATAATTTTAAAAAAAAATTTCGTAATAATTAAATTTTTTTTTTAATAATAATTTTAATCACGTTATTACTTATTAAAAATTATCATAAAATTTAATTCAATGATGAAATGGAAAAATTTTACTGATGCATTAATTAATTAATTTTCAATTTAAAATTAATCGTTTTAATTCTTTTTATTTCATTTATATATATAAACATATATAATTTAATTTCGTTTAATACGTGCATTGTAATTATATAATTTGCACCGAAAACAATGTTCAATTAATAGGTAGGAATTTTTTAAAAAATAAATTAAATTTAATTCACACACACACATTTACACAATTTCTCTTACCTGATATTGTACGAAACGTTGATAAATATGTAACTATTAATATACATAACGGTATTATAAATGTAAAAAATAATGTAAATGTTGTATAAAGTTGCTCTTGCCATTCAGCCGTATAAAATCCATGGGTAACACATTGATAAAAATCTTCTATAAATGGACCACGAGCAACACGAAATATGAAAAACTGAAAAAAAAAAATTAAAAATAAAAAAAAAATGTTTTAGAAATTTTTTTATTGTAAATCAATTTAAAAAATAATTAATAAAATATTTTCAATATGGGCGCTTACAACATTTTCCGTTTTAACGTCAATTGGAAAAGTTATACCGGAAAATTTATTGTCGATTTATTTGAATTTTCTAAAGAGTTTTTCGAAATTTTTTCATTTTTTTTTAAAAACTTAACAATTATGTAGCTTGGTTTATTTATTTTTTAGTATTTTAATTAAAATTTTAAAATTGTCCTAATTCTTTTTGAAAATTGTGCTGGTAAATTTAACATTAATTGAGAGTAAGTTTATATTCAAAGACTCAAACCATATAAGAATCATAAATGGCAGAAAATAATTTTTAATACTTATGAATGTGTGTGCATATACAATAACATCAAATATAAGAGCAAAAGAATTTCACAAGGCGATTCGTTTATATGAAATTTGTTTTGAGCTTCACTGACCAAAAATTCTGTTTGCTCAGTTAATGTTAATATTTAAGCAGCATTTTATGCAAACTTTTGATGAACAAATTAAAATTTTGATGAATTAGATTCACATGTGTTTCATCATTGAACAATGAATTATAAGCATTATTGATAAAGCTCAAAAGCATTAGCTAAAAAAATTGGATATATTTTTTTTTTCATCGAAGGAAGGAGGAAAGCATGAATGCTACTAACATGCCATTCCCTGGCAACCCTTAGTTTGTTATGTGTTTTACCACAGAAACCTCTTCCTTATTTTCTAATACTAGTCCCCTTAGATCAACCATCAAACTTTCTTTAATATAGATTGAAAGAGATTTAACGCTCCCCGATTTGTGGCATTTTGCGCTAAATCAGAAGGCAAAGTCCTCTTTAGCCTTCTAGGAGAATCTCAGATAACAATGAGCCGAGAGGCCTCTACGTTGACATGTTGCTCCAGATGAGCTCGGTGTCTCACCGTCCTTTCGTTAATTTCGTTCGGAATATATTTAAAATTTGATTTTACAGGAAACAACAGGAATTCACATTTCAAATCACGGAGTTCAAAAAACTTTTACTTCGTTGTAATTATTTGGTACTTTGATATATTCTTGTATATAATTAAAGTAATCTTTTATACAATAAATAACATAATCAAGCACAGTTCAAGAGAAAATACTCCAAATAAGTTTGTTGTGGGTCAATGTTAAAAAAAATTAAATTTGTTGATGTTCTCATTAAAAAATTTCATAATTTTGATTTTTTCCAATAGTATAGTATACTTTTAGGGGCATTTCTTTATACAATCCTAATTAAGATCTTGTGGTCATACCATTTTTTTTTTAATTCTTAATTCTCAATATAAAATATTTTTCATGCTTGTAAGTTTTTGTGTTATAAGACAAAATGGCACTATAGATATGGGTACTTTATATATTGTCATAAATTTACATGTAACACTTAGATAATCTGGTACAAGATAATTTTGATGACTTCTAGGCATTACTAAAGTTTTTATTAAAATTTTGTTGTTACAAGATAAGTGGTTTTTCTATTTTTTTTTAAGAAATGGTTTTAAAAATATTTCAAGTAGAGCAATATGGAATTATTTAGAGCTATTAGTATACATTGGTTTCCTTTATTTATTACAATGAGGTTATTTATTGTATTTCTTAATTAAAAATTAAGGGCTATTTGGTTGTTCTGGTTTTAGTTAAATTCAAGTTCACAAAAGTCATTGGAATTTAAGCAACTTGAATTTATCATGTTCCGATTAGTTAAGAATTTTTAATAATTTTAGTACTTCCGGTAAATTTTAAACGTACAGAACTTAAAAATCCTTCCTGGATTTGCTCTACTGGTAAATTTTAAATGAATTTTAATTAAATTTTGCAATCCGAGGTAAATTTGGCGGGGATGGTAATAAAAACAAACTTTTATTTTTATTTTTCAGTCAAATAGATGCAAATTAAGAATATTAGGATTTTTTTCTCGGTTAATTTTGAAAATTATTCAATTTCGTCAACATAGTTAGATTAAGGACAATTTGGAATATTCCAAAATAAAAAAAAAAATTTTAATAAATTAAGAGAAATGTTAATTCCAATCAATTATTCTATCGCAATGATTATAGAATGTTACCTGACTAGAGTTTAATTTATTTTTTGTTATTTCCTCTTCTATATTTTTAAAATTGAAATCTGGGGAAAAAAAGTTCTTTAATCTTGTATCACATTATTTGAAAAAAAAAAAAATTTGTTGTTTTCTGTTTTTCTGCTTTGAAATTGAAATTGTTAAAATCTTCAAAATGAATAGCTAGTAAGAAATTTCGTAATAAAATCAAATTGATGCGAATAGATCTAAATAGACCAGATGGGAATGAGGCCATCTGGTTTCTATTTTATACAATAATATACAAAACATAGTATGTACTCGTATTATAAAAGTATATTGACATAAAGAGAAAATAAAGTAGGGAAATAAAATGTTAATCTTAAACCTAGGTCTCTAGCAAAAAAAAAAAACCCAACAAAATTTAATCTTCTTGATTTTGAAATTTTTCTTCAGAGAGTTAAAAGTAATTTTTCCTTCTTTTTTTGTGAACTTTCTTTTAAATGTAACATTTAAGTAAAAAATCTAATGTGGGCAGCTCATATTCGAATTTCTTAGCAATAATAATTTCAAAAAATTTGTTTTTAATAGGTTACTAAAAAGGCTTACTAGTGCTTGACTTTCTGGAATCTGATTTTTCTGTTGAAAAGTTGGTCAGCTACTTTTGTTGAATTTGAATTTAATGAATTTAGAACAGAATTCTAATATAAAATTTCAAGAAATTTCAATAGAATTAGAATCGAGGCCGAGCCTCGATATTTCCTAAAAATTTGTTAGTTTACTCCTTTAATATTCAGAGTTGAAATATTAAAATTTAAACAAACCTGTTAATTCATTTAACAGTTAAATATACAAACCTACTCGTAGCAAAAATTCAGATATTTGGGTCGGAGATACCTCTGAAATTGGGCAATTCATCATACTATGCGTCAAAATCGGAAAATTTTCATGAACGCAAGCGGAAATCTCTCCTAAAATAGTTCACTACATTCTTGTGTGTCACGAAGAAGTGCAGTTCTATTGAAAGCTCAACTGTTATAAAATTTGGTGTCATCACAATACCTCCCTTATTTAGTATGTGCGATCCAGTCGGTAAAAAGAAATGGAAAATGCTTACTAAATCTAAAATGTAAAAAGATAAAAAGATGAATAAAAAGGATAAAAAATAGAGAAAGAAAATTGGTAAATTCCAAATTTAAATGAAAATTTATAAAATTTTACATCAAAAACTAAAAATTTGATACAGAGTAGGTTGGAGTCTTACTTGCTTTCACTTTATAATATATTGATCAAAGAGGAATTATAGAAAATGAAGATGGAATAAAGACAAATAAAAAGAAAAGGAAAAATCCGGATCATGAATCCGGAAATGTGCAAAATTGTTAACTTTTAAAATTCACAAAAATCTTATATATACTTTTGTATTTTGTACAAGCATTTGTGTACATAAGTAAGCTATTCTTAAAGCATTCTTCCATTATGATACGGTTTTTTTTTTTATTATCTTATTAGGTATAAGGATAAAACGAAAACCTATGTTACTTTTTGTGACAGCCATTCAGTATTAGGATTGTGGGATAGTGAAGAAATATTTAAAGGATTTAATTTAATCTTTTATAGTTTTTTTTTTTTCTTTTTCTTTTCACACTTGGAAGATTTACTATCACCCTATATGCACCTGTAATATTTTATAATAATGTGAGAGAAATTGTTTAAGAAGATTTTTTCACATTTATAATACAAAGTATCAGTAATGTGTTAAGTAAAGGTGTTAAATAACTAGTTTTTAAGAGAATTTAAATATTAATTCCTCATACGTTATTGGCTTAGTTCCACTTTTGTATGTAAGCGTCTTTTATTAAAAAAATAGTTAATAGTGCAACCTGTTTCCAAAAATAGTGTTTATTTTCCGAGGAAATCAGCGGCATCCCACCAGGGAGGATCCACCCAAGTTGTCCCTTTTCTTTTATTGATCCCTACTGCTTCTTCTTCGCCCAAAGGCAGCGTCAACAAATCGAAAATGACCTCCATAAGTGTCGTTGGGTAGGTCCTCATGGCACTCCTAAGGCAGCATGCCAACATTTGCAGTTTCTCCAAGTTCCTCTTTGCATAAAATTTGTATTTCAAATTTAAACTGTTTCACGCTATTTGGGCAAGTTTTCCACATACATACAAATATTCAAATATTTTAAGAAATAATTTTTCTGCAAAAAAACGTTTCTTGCTACTTTGATTACACTTTGTGAAAGAAATAATTTCGACTCAAAAGAGATTAAGAGAAAATTTTTAATTTTTTAATTAATTTGTTAAATTTATTTTGGACGGAAATAAAATTATCTTTAATAAAAAATCCGAATTACCTTTTTAATTTACATAACTGATAACATTTTGCTTTGTTATGTGCTTGATGAAGAACGTTACACAACATTGACCAGTTTTAATACAATTGTTGTCATTTGAACGTATAAATAACATTTAATTGTCAATTTTAAATAAGACAAGCGTTTCAGACAAGAAAAGATTATAAGTGTGGGTGTCAACTTTTCTCTTCTTTTTTTTTTGTGTCAAAAAACAATCTATAAAATGGATAGGGAAGTAAAAAATTTTACAAAGAGGAAATTAATTTTTACAAGAATTTTAAAATCAATAGATTAATCACAAAGGATGATTGTCCTTTTTTTAAAAAAAAAAATTAAGTTTGATTATGACCTTTATAATAAAGAAATTGTTATTGAGATAAATTGAAGGATAAAAATAATGGGATATTGTAAAATTCTTTTATATATACAATAAAGTAGATATCTTTATGTATTTGTATAGATTATAGATTTTATTTTATGAACTTTTTTAGGTTTATATTCTTAAGGTATATAAGATGGAAGGTATTCAAGCACT